ATAGAGGGAAGAGGGACAAACACTACCCACTTTGGGACAGACTGAATGTTAGAAGTGGCTACTCCTCATGAGTCTGTAGTCCCAGCTACTTGTGAGGCTAAGGCAAGAGAATTGCTTGAACTTAGGAGGCGGAGATTGCAGTGAGCCCAGATCACACCACTGCACTCCAGCCTGGGTGACAGAGCAAGACTTCATCTCAAAAAAAAAAAAGAAGTGGCCACTCCTACGTGGCCTGCACCCTCAACTATTCTTTGACCTTGTCTTCGAAGCTGCTTGCCCACATGCCACATGCAGTCCTCTCTCCTCCATGTGATGAGCCCACAAGCACAAGGAGCCCTTCATTTCAATGCTCCATCATTAAGCTCCAGCCAAGTGGGAAGTTGTCCAACAGAAAAGAAGATGATATTTTCCATCCTTATCACCTATAAAAGGTTCCCAATTGGCTCAGCACTGAGGAAAGATGGGTTAGATTACCTACACACGTGTCATTCTCAAATATATCAGCTGAAGAAAGGAATGGCTAAAGAATACACCTGTACCTGTTGCCTCTAAGTTAAGGGTAGGAAGATGTAAGTTTCAGGAATATTTATGATATCCCAAAACACAGAACTTGGCCAGATGCAATGGCTCATGCCTACAATGCCAGCACTTTGGGAGGCCGAGGCAGGAGGACTGCTTGAGCCCAGGAGTTTCAGCCTGCAGTAAGTTATGATCATCTGGGTGACAGAGCAAAATGCTCTCTCTAAATCAATCAATCACAAAACTAGCCTATGCCTTAATATAACATCTAGATAACAACTATTTATTCAGCTTCTCCCTGCTTCCCACAAAGCATAAACACATTGAAAGTAAAAAAAATTATTAATGCTAAGATTTAAAATTGGCAAATTAATTCTAGAATTGAGAAGGAGTTTCCATCAACTACCATGTTTCTGAACTGTGTCGAACGCAAGGACCACGTATTCACAAGGAATGCAGTGGGCGGGGTGGGGGGGGGGCGGGTTGCAGAACTTAAGGACCAATGCTTGTTTGTAGCTGGAAATCAGACAGACCAGCCTGCATCTCAGTTCAAAGACCTAGGGTTTGTATCAGAACATTGCAGAGCAGAAACGCCTCCCAGCTGGCCAGCTCGCACCTCTCAGGCAGACAGGATAGCCTGAACCTCAAAACCTTTATTTCCACAATATTCTCAGATCCTCAGGAATTATAGGGCAGAGGGAGGAGGAGAAGAATCACTTATGTGTTAAGGTGACATATAACACACTGGGAAAGCTCCTAGCACATTACAGGGAAGGGTGTACACAATAAGTGGCCTGGAGATGGTTTTCTATGTTCTCCTTCAGCTCATCTCCCTGGGAAAACTAGGCAAAAACATCAGATCCATTTAAAGACCTCCAGCCACTAAAAACTGGGCCAGCTACCATCTATACGAGGAGCCACCCACTGAACCTTCAAGAAGGACAGTATCAAATGCAAACGGGTGCATGACTGGGGGAAAAGCACACTGCAAACTGATCTCCAAATGTCAACTCTCAGGCCTAATTTTACTGGATCTCTGGGAAGCATGTGACATGACAGGTCTCTCCCTCCTTAAAATACAGACTTGACTTGGCTTTCAGGGCACCAGGGTCTTGGTTCTCTCTCGTGCTCACTTTTCTGCATCTCTGATCTCTAGTGCTGGAGGGCCTCAGGATTCAGTCCTTGGACATCACCCCCACTTCAATTACAGTCAGATCCAGGTGATGTCCTCCCAATTCTCAGCTGAAAGTCTGTCTACACACTGATGACTCTACATTTATATCCCCAGCCTGGGCTTCTCCCTAGCACAGCCAGCTAACCACTCAACACTGCTATTGAGGTATCTGATAGATGGCTCAACCTCACAACTCAAGTTTTAAAAACCAAACCTCTGATCACCCTACCTGAATGTACTCTACCGGTAACCGTCTCCATTTCAGAAAAAGGCAATTCCATTTTTCCAGCTCCTCAGGCCAACATTTCAGATTCATCTTTGACTCTGGCCTTTTGGTTCATCCAATTTATGATCAAATTCTACCAGCTTCTCCTTCAGGACACACACAACACACCACACACACACACACACAACACACCACACACCCCAAACTTCCCTCTCCTCACTACCTCCCCTGCACCCACCCTGTTGAAGCAAATGTCATCTTTTGCCTGGATAAGTTCAATAGGCTCCAAAATGGCCTCCCTGCCTTTGCCTTTGTCCTTCTGCAGGCTTGTTCGTACAGCAGTTTCTAGCAGGACTTTGAACACATTGGTCAGTTCATTTCATTCCTCTGCTCAGAATCCTCCAGTGTCTTCCTTTTCCATTTAGAGTAAGAGCCCATGTCCTGCAGTGACTGCTGCTCTGTGCCCTCTACTTCCCCACGGCTCCTAAACCCTCCCCACTCACTCCGCTCAACCATGCTTGCTCCTTGGACACATCAAATACTTTTCTGTGTCAAGACTTGTCACTTGCTGTTGCCTGTGTCTGGAATGCTTTTCCATCAAGTCTGTTTTGCTCCCTCATTTCTTCAGGCTTTGGCCCAAATATCAAAAGGCTGTCCCTGAGCACCTGTACACAAAAGCACTGTCAAACTTCCATTTCCAGCACTTGCAGCCTTCTTATCCGGTATTTGTTCTTTGTTGCTCTCATCACAACCTGAATGTTATTTTTTCATGTATTGTTTTATCACCTCTCTCAACCGGAAAAATAAGACCAGTCAGAGCCAAGACTTTATATTTCTTCGCTGTTCTACCCATGGTGCCTAAAGCAGTACCTGGAGCATAAAGTAAGAATAAAAAAAAAATCGTTGAAGGGCTGGACCCTTCCCTTGTACCTAGGTGAAGTAACAAATACCCAGGGGCACATGCACATGCATGTTCATTGTGGCACTGTTCTCAATGGCAAAGACTTGGAACCAATCCAAATGCCCATCAATGATAGACTGGATAAAGGAAATGTGGCACATATACACCATGGAATACTATGTAGCCATAAAAAAGGCCGAGTTTATGTCCTTTGCAGGGACATGGATAAAGCTGGAAACTATTATTCTAAGCAAACTGACACAAGAACAGAAAACCAAAAACCACATGTTCTCACTCATAAGTGGGTGTTGACCAATGAGAACACATGGACACAGGAGGGGAACATCACACACTGGGGCCTGTGGGTGGGCGGGGGATAGGGGAGGGATAGCAAGGGGTGGCAGGATAGGGGAGGGATAGCATTAGGAGAAATATCTAATGTAGACAACGGGGTGATGGATGTAGCAAACCACCATGGCAAACGTACACCTATGTAACAAACCTGCACGTTCTGTACATGTACCCCAGAACTTAAACTATATATATATAGAATATGGTGAATATCCATATACCCATCACTTACATTCTACCATTAACATTGTGTTATACTTTATTATGACTATATACCTTAAAGTTTTTCTATTTTTTTCATTAAAGGTTTAACTCCCCCACCTCGCAAAAAAAAAAAAAAAAAAAAAAAAAAACACCCAGAGGTTTACATAAATGTAGAGCCAGTATCCTAGAAGAAAATAGCCCTGAAAACTGTACTTATAATTTGTACTAATGGAAATGTTACCACTAAGACAATGTGAAAAATGAGGAAAAAGTCATCAGAAGACAAGAGCAGATGAAAAGACAAAAGGCTTAGATGAAAAGGAGCGAAGGTCAGAAAGGATGTTGGATAAGGAAAACTAAAATGATGGGAGAATTAAGGCATGCTCTGGGGACAGTGGAAAACAGAATCAACAAGGCAGAAACTGATAGTGGTCTCTTCATTCATTTATTCAACCACTGCATACTGAGGGCCTCTGCATATACATCAAACAGAGAACAAGGAAAAAGAAACGTATCTTCATGAACGTGCGTGAGATGAACAAGCCCATGTGCTGCTTATCGGAGCCCAAGCCAGCACTGCCTTTCTGGAAACCGCGTGGGCAATATATACGATGAGTATCTTAAAACGCATAATCTCTGAGAAACTATTTCATGTCTATGAAAATAATATAAAGAAATAGAGACGATCATAGAGTATCATAGAATTTACATTTATATATAACATGCATATTAAAATTTTCCATATTAGAAACAACTGAAAAATACACTGTAATGGAATTATCAACTAAATATTACCAGGGCCAAACAATGGAGCACTATGCAACCATGAAAAAAGATAAAAATAATTTTAAGAACATGGAAAAATTCACAATCCATAGATACTTACAGGTAAATAATTATATGCAGAAAGAATTCAAACACAGAGCTCTTGTCTTTGGAATTTGGGATTCTGAATTATGTACATTATGCTTTGGGGCATTTGAAAAGTTATCCTCAAGGAATATATAATTACTTAATGATCAGAAGAGTAAGTGCTAAATAAAATTTTTGCCTCCCACATTAACATTTCTCATATATTTTGAAACTATTCCAACACAGTTCTCAGTTCCTAGAATTGTCCATTCCACTTACATTATAAGAGATTCCAGTAAATTTAAATGTTTGCCCAAAGCATGCTAAGGTTTTGTATTCTTGCATTCCTGCTCCAGATTTTTGAAACAAGACACAACATTTTATATATAAATATATATTTTATAGATATTCTATACTCACTGTTGTTTTCTCCTTTTATCATGGGGTAGTAAAAGAAAATATTTTATTCAAATAATCCAACAATTCATCACTCACCATACAAATGTATTGTATCCAAAAACATATAACTTTATCAAAAATAAAGTTCCTTATTAAAATGTTTCAGTAAACACATCAAGACTGTGGCTTAGTTTCAAAGACATACACCATGTCAAAATTTGTCAAATTATACACTTTAAATATGTGCACTTTATTATATCAATTATACCTTGGTAAAGCTACTAAAACACAACATCCAAAAAGGCCACACACTGAAATATGACAAAAAGGCCTAAAGTCAGACACACACGCCAAAGAAAAAAAAGACCCACTCCTTAAATGCATCAGCAAGTTTATTTACAAATGCAGTTGAACAGAAAGGCTCACCAGTTTCTGGAGAAGACTTCTAGTATACAAACCATGGCTATTTTTCATTAATGAAAATAAGCAGCTTTCTATTGGGAATTACTTAGCAACATTTCTGGTAAAGAAAATAGAGCTCCCTCATCAAGCAAATAAATGGTACATTAGCTACATTTTTAAAAACCAGAATACATAGGTAGAAGGAAGGATACAGAAAGCACATTTGGGGATAGATTTTACTGAAATTTTCCATATGGTTCTGCATTAATTTAGAACACATTATAATAAACAGAGCAAATGCAATTACATATTTATATTAACTATTTCAAATAATGTTTAAGAATCTTTTTTTAAAAAAAAAACAATAAAATATCCTCTTCAAAATACCATTAACTAGAAAGTCAAACTAGATCATTATCTGCCTCGAAAATATTCTTAAGCTCTTATCTTTTTCCTTGTGCTTTTAAGATGCTGAATTCAACAATACTGCACTTTTCCCCACACATAATTACCTTATAAATAAACAACAAAACTACAAGTTCTACCAAGACTACAATGTTTCTATGTAATCTAGAGGCAAAAAAAAAAAAAAAAAAAAAATTTTTTTTTTTTTTTTAAAAAGCAGAAAAGACATACAACACATATTTATAGATCTACATCAGCAGCAACCGCCTCTTCTTCTATCTGCAACAGTGCTTTCGCATGGAGGTTTACATCACATGGCGGTTGGCCGTCCAGCTGATCGGGCAAGGAGAGAAGAAAGAAAAGAGCTTAGATTCAGAGACGTGAATATTGCCACCTGGGATACATAGCAGTCATCACTCAGAAAGTTGGCCCAATGAGGTAGAAAGTGTCACCTGTCACTCACTCTTAGGGGAAAGCTAGGCAAATCTCAGTGTCTGGTCTCTGGAATTCTTTATTTGTAAAAATGGAGTAAAAATGAACAACTCATGCCAGGCGCGGTGGCTCACACCTGTAATCCCAGCGCTTTGGGAGGCCGAGGCGGGTGGATCACGAGGTCAAGAGATCAAGACCATCCTGGCTAACATGATGAAACCCCATCTCTACTAAAAATACAAAAACTTAGCCAGGCATGGTGACACACACCTGTGGTCCCAGCTAATCGCGAGACTGAGGCGGAAGAATTGCTTGAACCCAGGAGGCGGAGGTTGCATGGAGCCGAGACTGCACCACTGCACTCCAGCCTGGTGACAGAGCAAGACTCGGTCTCAAAAAAAAAAAAAAAAGAACCACTCACAATAGAAATAAATTACACTCAACTCTCTATTATTTGTTTTGGAGGAGAGAAAAGGCATGGGCAATTTTACAATGATGATTCCAGAAATCATTTCTATTTGGCTTTGGAATTTGATGAGATAGAAAAAAACACACACACATACACACACCCACCAGGACATGCCCAGCCTTGAATTTCTCCAACCTCAGCATCAGCATCCAGGAAAGGACTGGACTGCTGCAGCAGGAAGGCTCAGAACCCACCGACAGATAAGAGAGAGTTGACTGGACTTAAATCACTTCCAAAGCACTCTTCACATAGGGGCCATACAAATACCTCAGAGCTCAAAAGCAAATGGTTTTGCTGATACCACTTGTAACACCCTTTCACAATAAGGAAGAAACAGAAGTTACCAGCATCAAGGTTTAAAATATAAACAGCAGTAATGGTTGTCTTGCTGTAGCTATACACAATACACAACCTAGTTCTGCCAGTCTACCTTTTATAACACACAAACACATGCTTAGAGGCAAAGTAGCATTTGAAGTTTTTGAAAACTCATTACTTCCAAAAATGACACTGAAATACCGCAGTTAATACTTTCCTTTTAAAATTATATATTGATATGTATTAACATAAAGCATAAGCTGACTTATTTTGTATTACATAGAACAATAGTTTTTAAAGCTGGTCATATTCTAAATCACATAATCAAAGCCCATTGTTAAATAATAGAAATAAGTTGATGATGAGAGACCAATCTTTAGTCAAGACTATAGCCTACACAGGAGATTCATTTAACTCTTCTGGTTTGTATTCTTGAGTCATTAAAGGTCTCTACAGACCCTGGGCAGATGACACGAGACACCATCCTGACTTTCAGGAACATGTTCCTCTCCATTCCTTAGCCCCACAGCCCACTCCTGTGTAGCTGGAACCCTGAACAGTGACCCATTCTATATACAGCATTGAAGGGAACACACTACCATTCCTGAAACCTGGACTCCTACGGCAGTGAACTTGAAGGGGAGCTGGCTGCACGTTCAGGGAAATGCAGGGGAACCCGTGGTCTCCTTAAAAGGCAAGAAATTTTCTCTCTGATTTGCTCTCTTACATTTGAATCTGAGATAGCAGTCATTGCAGTACAGTTGGTGGTTTCTGATTCTAACTTCGGCTCCTGAGGAAGAGCCTCCGAGGTCACACTGACAGGCAACACACTGGGGAACAAAAAAAAAGAACACCCACAATCAGTCACAGCTCAAGAAAGCTTGGGGCACTCCTGGGGGTGGGGGGGCGGAAATGAGCAGAACGCTACTTCTAAGCTCTTAGATACATTTCAGCAAAGAAAAAAAAAGGCCAAAAGATGATTAGTAGATTAAAATAAAGCCTGCCAGATAGGATGTTAAAGAATTCATAAAGCCAATATTAAGAGCCAAGATGATCAGTCTAAATATACTCCCCCAAAATAAAAATAATTTGCTGATTGACTTAAAGAAATTTAGTAGAAAAAACTAAATTCCCCCTAGAGGAATGGTAGATAAGGCCCCTCATGAAAGAACTGGCCATTGTGAATGAAAATGGGGCTCCGGCCCTCCACCCTGGGGTGGGCCGCTCCCAGTGCCCCTGCTGCACTAGCTTAGCGAGCGTTCTCACACAGTGCCTCACTTGAAGGCTGGGTATTTCGATTCCATGTACCCAAACTCTAATTATCTTGACTCATTCTGCTCTGCCTAGGAACAGCCCAAGCCAGCAACGTACAAACTTAAACAAGCTGTGGTCTGCGGGCCTCCAGGATCAACAACCAGAATGTTTCTCTGGCCTAGTGCAAGTTCAAGAATTAAACAGCCATGTCTTTAGAGACAGATATTACAAAACCAGTTACAGCCTTAGTTTCTTCCTAGGAAGAAAAACCTAGCAGGTATAAGCAGGCTGTGCAATTATAAAAATAGCTACAATGGTAATGGTTTTCCTTATGTATTCTTCTTACTCAAAGCTAGGTTTTCAGACACTATGATAATTGCATGTGTTCCTGCCCTTAACAGTACTAGCAGGTTATTGGTAAATTATATTTCAAGGATGCCTCTGACAGCATCTTGGAGAAAGCAACATACGTACTGTAAATGTATAGGATTCTAACAGATTAGAAATAGAAAATGCAAAATTTTTCCAGATTTCAGTTTTAAAACAAGGTTCAAGATTTGAGAACTAGGGAGTAGCAAGCAATTTGTGATTCAAATGCAGCACAGACTGACGAATACAGCACCTAGCTTGTTAGTGGCACATCTACACCCAGCGGCTCAAAGAAGCCATGCGCTCTCCAAGCAAAGCTTTGCAGGCCTGCAAGCTGTTTGTCTCAGTCTCACCTTAAAACAATGCAAATGATAACAAAGACCCAGGGACTCGATGATCATGGCGGCTCCTTTGCCCAGAATGTTATTGCAGTAGGAGCATACGCGCTTCCCACTGACTGACCTAGATGCAGAACAAGAATGGAATGGAGGCTTTCACCTGGGCAGCTCAAGATTCTTCTTTAAAGTCACACTCTGGTATTAACATTGATAATAACTTACGAAAAGCTCTATACACGTATCTGTGGGAGCATAACCTTTACCAGCCAACTAAAGAATGCCTTGATTATACTCTAACCTTGAACCATCTCCATGGCAGCTCCAAGGCCCCTGACACCTACTCACATAAATGAGCAATTTCAGTGTAATTAGTCCATCCAGCAGTTTCTCATGCCATCCTTCCTTTGATCACCTCTGTACTCAGCAACAGTCTCCCCTCGTCTCATCCACCTACATCTTCTTGCCAGTTAAACCAAGGCACACAATGCTGATCGTGTCCTTCCGACCCCCTCAGAACACCAAAAGAGTGGCCTCAACTTCCTTCGAGAGGCTTTGCAAGTCCTCTATGGCCTATTTTCTCAGCCTTATTTTTCACCCTCTTCCTTGGGCACCCAGTTTTCTAGTTAAACATAAATGCCAGTGTTTTCTTCACTGTCCATTTGGCTTACAGGACTGTCTCTGTGAGGAAGAAAATGAAAAGGAACTGACAGCTGCCATGGACAGAGGAAAGGAGGATTTCTACTCTACTTCTGGATAAAGATCTTTTCTCCTCTTCCGATTGCTAAGGTGGCACCTGTGCTTCCATACCTCTGCACCCCCACGGCATGAGTACAGCACTTCAGAGGGCCACCTCCTAGATCAGGACCTTCTTAGGTCAGTAAAGCCCTCAGCCCATCCCTCTGCTCTCCCAGAGTGGGCCTCTCAGCCAGTAAATGGGTCCCCTCTCCTCTGCCTTCCTCTCTTCCCATAGACTGGACCTCCCCACCATACCCAATTTACCCTAAAACCTCACCTCTGTTCTCTCAATTCAAACTCATTGATACACACTTTATATCCCAGTACATGTAAAATTATTTTGGATTTATATAAAACATGTTTTCTTGTGAGTCTCTGATCTGATAACTTAAAAAAGTTCCAATATTAATCAATGTGTTTCTATTTTTAAGTATTCCACTTGTGGTGGAAATGAGTAAATGCCAACAGCACTCTCTTGTGGTGATGAGAGCAGCACTGCCTGATGTACCTACATGAGGCATATCTGTGGAGAAGCTACCCAGATCTAAAGACCCAGGCAGGGCTGATATCTGAGCTTCACTCCACATAAAAAAATAACACCCTATCAAAACATATACACTTCCCACGCCATATGCCCTACCAAATCCAGCTGATGTAGCCTGAGCAAAACATGGGCAAACAGAATGGCCAAGCAATGATTTTGGCAATCAAAAACCCCAAAAGCAAGATCTAAATGACTTCACATTTCTTTCATCCAGCTAGTTAAAAGTCCCCCAGACAACGGAGCATGCCTGGAAAAGCACTGTAATGCTCTTCTTTCACACTCAGTTCCTACGAGTCTGTATGACACTATTATGAAAATAGTCAGATATTTGACCAGACTGCTTTCCCTCAGAAATTTGAGAAGTGTTCATGAGCTGCTATATGTTTTTATGATTCCACACCAAGAAGTATTCAGCTACATCTTACATCCAAGACATTGACCACAAGCACAGGCAAATGAGACAGTAGCAACAGGTAGACGTCTTCAAGGTCTCCGGTGGCTTCACAAGACATCTAGAAATGCTGTTAGAGTTGCATGGAATGGGATTGAGCAAGCCGTCATTATTTTCATACAAGAATACCAAGTCTGACACATTCAAAAGGGCTTCTTTTTCTTTTTAGTTGGAAAACTTGGACAGGATTTCAGGGATATTTCAATGAAAAAATATCCAAGGCTAAGAGAAGAAAGAGAAACAAGGAGGGCCTCACCTGTTGCGCAGCTGAGAGCCTGCCTGTGGCGCTGAAGGGGAGTGGCTTCTCGGGGTGGGGGACTGTGTGGCGACCACACCTGTGGTGGAGGTCTTCGGGGGACTGGCTGAAGGCGGGGGCACGCTGGAGGAGGGGTTCCGCATGTAGGCACGGTTTGATGTGGACACCAGCTGACGCGGTGGGCGACTAAAGTCTTGCACGGAGGAAGAAGCATAGAATCCTGTGGGCTGATTAAGCCAAGGGGGCTGTCTCCAAGAATTGGATCTGGGGGAGTCCAGGTTATCTAAAGATTCGCCTCTGAAACACAGAAAGAGACTCATCAAAATTACGTGATATATTCAGCTAGAAATCTATTTGACTCATCATTCCATTCATTGAAAATCCATTTTATATATTTTATATCAGGGGAGTAACCTAAGTATTCTAGTTACATATACAGATGTTTCTCGATGTATGATGATGGGGTTATGTCCCAATCAACCCATCATAAGGTGAAAATACTGTAAGTCAAAAATGATTTTAATTCACCTAAACTACCACATATCGTAACTAAGCCTCACACACCTCGATCATGTTCAGAACACTTACCTTAGCCTCCAGTTGGGCAAAATCAATGAACACAAAGTCTATTTTACAATAAAGTGTCAAATATACAACTTACTGAATACCGTACTGGAAGAAAACAACAGACTGGTCATGGGGTACTCAAAGTACAGTTTCTCCAAATGCTTATCACTTTCACATCATTATAAAGTCAAAAATCTTAAGTTGAACCATTGAAAGCCGAGGACCCACCTGTAAAATTACCTTTAACAAGCAAAGTGGATCTTCATCATCAGTGGCACCATGTTTCATAGTTAATCAACCTTCTTCCTTTTTGTTTTAATCTGTTTTTCTTTCCAACTTTTATTTTAGGTTTAGGGGACACATGCGCAGGTTTGTTACATGGGTAAATGAGTGTCATGGTGGTTTGGTGTAGATTATTTCATCACCCAGGTAATAAGCAGAGTACCAGAGAGGTAGTTTTTTGATCCTCAACCTCTCGCCCTGCACCCTCAATAGGCTCTGGTGCCTACTGTTTCCTTCATTGTGTCCATATGTACTCAATGTTTAGCTCCCACTTACAAGTGAGAACACCTTTATTTATTTTTATTTACTTGGTGCTTAGCTAAAAGAATAAATACCATCCAAAGAAGAAAGAAAAACACTAAGAAAAATATATAAAAATAAAAGCTAATGCTCTGCGAAGTCTAAGAAAATACTTATCCTTTAAATCTTCGTTTACACATATCAACCAGAAAGTCTTAAAAATTCAAAGAAATATTTTCAAAGCTTAAATATGACAAGCATTAGGTTAGACACTTTCACAAAAACATTAAACTTATTGAATCTTCACAACACTAAGATTTTTTTTTAATCTCATAGAAGTGAGTTTCTCATAGGAAGAGCCAGTCAGTGGGAGCACTGGCTTTCACACTACAGACCATACCTCCTGTAAAGATCTGATTTATGTATCACCGAATCCCTAAATTTAGCAACTGTTTAATGTCTACATTATAGGAGCATTTATCATGCACATCTCTTAAAGTACATAAGCTTTTAAAATCAGATTTAGCTCCCAAATGGATTTAAATACAGCTTTTGGGAAAATCTCTGTTAAAAGTTGTGTACAAAAATGAACTCAAAATTATGAAAATTTGTCTACCTGGTCAAGCTTGATTTTTTAAATTTTAACATTATAAAAGTGATACATTATCATAAGGAGAAAGACTGAAACTGCAGAGAAAGACATCTGAGGGAGAAGAAAAGTCCTTCCTCTCTTATGACTCACCCGCCCTAATCCACAGAGGTAACCAGCATTAACTGTGTGTCCTTCCAGATGCTTTCTCACACATGCCAGCACATACTTACATACACATGCAAATTTACATATGTAAGTATAGATGTGTCTATATACATATGCAATGTGTTTAATACTCTTAAACAAATGGATTACTCCACAACACAGTTTCGTTAACTTCTTTTCCATTTAAAATGTATTATCTTAGAACTCTCGTCATTCTGCTCATATGATAAACTATACTTCAGTGGCCTCCAGTGAACCACACCTTTTGGTATCCATGCCCTTATGCAGTCCCCTCCCACTGACTCTGGGCTTGGTCACATGATTAATTTGGCCAATGGGGCATCAGCAAACATGATGCACACGGCGGCTTGATAAGCCCTTGCTTATTAGCCATTGCCTTGGTGCAAGCTCTGCCTCTTTGAATCCAAGTCCCATGCCATGGGGCAGCCCAAACAACTATGTGGAGAGGCCCATATGCAGAACACAGGCCCCTCAACTAGTAGCTCTGGCCGAGCTCTCAATGAAGCCTCTACAGCTACAGGAGACAGCAAATTACAGCCTGCTGCCAAGATAGACACAGCTCATGAGCTGAGACCACTTTTCACATTTTCAAAGTCTTAAAAAAAAAAAAAAAAAGAATATGTGACAGAAACCTATGTGGCCTGCAAACCCTAATATCTGGTCCTTATGCATAAAATCTTACCAACGCCTACTGTAAATGACTACAGCTGCTCAAGTGCCCCAGCCAACATCATGCAAAGGACTGCCCAGTCAATCTGCAGGACTGTGAGAGATTATGAATTATTGTCTTAACTCACTAAATTTGGAGGTGGCTTATTATGTAGCAACACTTTTCTTTCATTCTTCAATAATCTTACAGTATTCTAGCTTATCAGTATGGTACTATTTACTGAATAACTAGTGAGTATTCAGCAAACAGTGATTTTCTTGTAGTAGACAAGTGCTTTTCTTTTCTTACTAGGAGACACTGATTTTCTTTTGCCATTAACAAATAATGTGTACATCCTTGAATATACCTTTGCATATTTATCCAAATATATCCAGAAGACAGACTACTAGAAACTACATTGCTCAGAGAGTCAGATGTATACATTCTTGCTTAATACATACTAAAAAACTGTCCAACCAAGCGGAAACAAGAATTCCTATTTCCATATACAATTGTCAATACCAAGTTTAATCAATTTTAACTTTTTACAAATCCAGTAAGCAAAAGAGATACATTCTTGGTTTAGTAGTAGTATTGATCTTTTATGTTTATTGGCTTTGTGTTTCTTTTTCCCATGAGCTGTCTGTTCATATCCCTTTGTCTATTTTTTTTTTTTTTTTTTGAGACACAGTCTCTTGCTCTGTCACCCAGGCTGGAGTGCAGTGGCATGATCTTGGCTCACGGAAACCTCCACTTCACGGGTTTTAGTGATTCTCCTGCCTTAGCCTCCCGCATAGCTGGGATTACAGGCACACATCTATTTTTTATAGAGTTTGTAGGAATAATTTTCTGATTTCTATAAAGTTATTAATATATTGATATAATTAGCTCTTTCTCTGTGATATGTTACACATAGTATTCCCCAGTCTGATTCCCCAATCAGAGTAGCTGCAGGATTCATTTACATAGATACATCTTTTAAAATATTCCTCTACTCATTTCCAACTAGTATCTCTATCTTTATCTTCCATAAAGTTATAAAAACTAGGTTGATCGCTTTTTTAACACAGTTATCATGATTTCCATCTAATCATTATCTCATTATAAACATGAAAAGATGAAACTTCTATTTGTTGAAGTTCAGCAGCCAAGACAGTTATAAGAGCAGTGTGCATTACTTAAGCATCTGAACCCTCACTTCAGAGGTCCCCATCCAGATCTGCAACCTAGTAACCATGGAATTTTGTCAGTGGCTTCCCTGCATGAGCCAAAGTTTCCTCATATTAAAAAACAAACAGATTATCCCTACCTCAAAACATTTTCCTCAGATTAGATGAGGTCATGTAAACCCAGTAACTGGCTGACACATAACAGTCCCCCAGGGAGTTTGCTCTGTTCCCTTCATCTTTTCTGTCTAAAGCACCAGCATGTCTACAAATTAAATATTTCCCTCTTAGTAAAGACAAGAAAACAACTCCTAAGATGTCTCTCACCTTCTCATGACCCCAGGAACACAAATAGGATCTTTGTTGACACTAGCACTGCGCTGTCGGATCCAGCTGTTATCATTGTGAAGGGGTGTTCGCTTCCTCATTTCCAGAAGGATTTGTTGCCTCTCCAACTCTGCTTCTGATGGTACTTGTTCTTTCTTGGAACTCCTCTGTGAAGTGGTCGTGTTCCCAATTTGGTCTAAATATTTACTGCTTCCTAAATTAAAGACAAATCAAAAGCTTCCGGATTAGTACATTTTAAAAGCCACGGTGATGATTGACATCACTAATGATCAGGAAAATGCAAATGAAAACCATAATGTGATACCACCTTACTCCTTCAAGAATGGCCAGAATCTAAACATCAAAAAATAATAGATGCTGGTGTGAATGTGGCGAAAAGGGAACACTTCTACACTGCTGGTGGCAATGTAAACTAGTACAACCACTATGGAAAACAGTGTTCAGCTTCCTTGAGGAACTGAAAGTAGAACTACCATTTGATTCAGCAGTCCCACTACTGGGTAGTCCAGAGGAAAAGAAGTCATTTCCAGAGGAAAAGAAGTCATTCTACAAAAAAGGTAGTTGCTCACTCATGTTTACAGCAGCACAATTCACAACTGCAAAAATGTGGAACCAACCCAAATGTTTATAAATCAATGAGTGGATAAAGAAAATGTGATGTATGTATGTGTATACACACGCACACACCGTGGAATACTACTCAGCCATAAAAAGGATGAATTAATGGCATTTGCAGCAACCTGGATGAGATTGGAGACTGTTATTCTAAGTGAAGTAACTCAGGAATAGGAAGCCAAACATCGGATGTTCTCACTTATAAATGGGAGCTAAGCTACGAGGATGCAAAGGCATAAAAATGACACAATGGACTTTGGGGACTCAGGGAGAAATAGCAGGAAGGGGGTGAGGGATAAAATACTACAAATTCAGCTTGGTGTATAGTTCTTAAGAGGTAAGTGCACCAAAATCTTATAAATCATTGCTAAAGAACTTACTCGTATAACAAAATACCACCTGTTCCCAAAAACCTATGGAAATAGAAAATTTTAAAAATAAAAAATACCAATACAAAACGAGAGAGAGAGAGAAGTGATATAACAAGAAAATAAAATGTATCTGAAATTGCAGCCTCAAAAAATAATTAAATAAATAAAAAGTGACAGTGGATAAATCGCCCAATTGCATTGCAGCTTAAAATGCAGCATTGTGCATGTGTACTAACATTACCAATTCTCAATGAGGGTGCTGCATGAGAACATAAAGTAACTGCCTCCTACTCCAGAAGGTCCAGTTCTACATCTAGAGCCACACCACGGAACAAACTGGGGAAAATGAACAAGGCCGCTCAAAAAGGAAACAATCAGTACTGGTTTCGGGATTACTTAGTTACAAAATGCTCATCTAGAGATAGTTTTTCTTCCACTCTTCCTTTCTCACATTAAATCAATCAAGAACATGCTCAAATCCTTGCTGTGACAACTCTAAAAGGAAACAGGAAGTTTTCTTCTCTCAAACAAATGTAGCTCTCCCCTGGGGAGAGGGGACATAAATGCACGTATCTTTAGCTGACATGACCCAAGTGTGCATGGTGTAAGTGACAACCAAAATTTTAAGAAGCACATACAATCATTGAAATGGCTTTTGTGAAAGGGAAAAATATTCAAGCAGTCCAAATAATCATCCATAAACGTTATTATGTTTATCATTTGGGTTGGTTCCACATTTTTGCAATTGTGAATTGTGCTGCTATAAACATGAGTAAGCAACTACCTTTTTTGTAGAATGACTTCTTTTCCTCTGAGTAGATACCCAGTAGTGGGATTTCTGAATCAAATGGTAGTTCTACTTTCAGTTCTTCAAGGAAGCTAAACACTGTTTTCCATAGTGGTTGTACTAGTTTACATTCCCACCAGCAGTGTAGAAGTGTTCCCTTTCACCACATTCACACCAGCATCATGTATGATAACATTTATGGATGACTATAATGCTTCTACCCTAAGAAAATGACACAAATATAATTTGAATGAATTTATTCGTAACAATTAAGTCAGGTTGTATCCTGAGGACTTTGTCTCTTGGATTTGGTTATTAGTTTCTGATTAGGGTAAAACACCCACGACTCTCACATATCATTCCCACCTTAATCTGGATTAGGAAATCTCATCTAAGGATTTATTTTCTTTCTTTCTCTATATTTACTGCTGCTGCTATTCTTTCGAAATTTATTGTTTGTCTATGCCTTGACAAAATGAGCAAGATCAAAGGTTTCTTATATAACTGTATTTACATTTGTATATATATAAAGCTTATCAATTTGGTCAGACTTTAAATAAATATTGTCTTTTTTTTTTTTGAGACAGAGTCTTGCTCTGTTGCCAGGCTGGAGTGCAGTGTCATGATCTCCGCTCACTGCAAACTCCCCCTCCCGGGTTCAAGTGATTCTTTGCCTCAGCCTCCTGAGTAGCTTTGATTACAGGCATGCCCCACCAGGCTTGGCTAATTTTTGTATTTTTAGCAGAGACGGGGTTTCACCATGTTGGTCAGGCTGGCCTCAAACTCCTGACCTTGTGATCCGCCCACCTTGGCCTCTCAAAGTGCTTGGATTACAGGCATGAGCCACTGCGCCCAGCCTCTTTTTAAAATGTCTTTTTGGTATAACCAAGTTTTTAAATTGAATATTTAATAACTTCCACTGCCTGCTATCCAAGAGCTTGCAATGAGTTAATGAAGGGGGGAAACATACATACAAAATAATCCGATTAATGATACAAATCACAAATATTAACAAGATTATTCTGGAGATTCATAGTTGCCGTTATTAACCGGTCTTGTGTTTAAGTTCAGGAGAGATAATCACTGCAGGTTAGAAATATTTCATGGAATACAGAAGTACTTAAACTATAATTTTAATGGTGGCTAAAGGCAAGTTCATCTGGCACTAGACAAGGATGCCCTCTCTCACCACTCCTATTCAATACAGTATGGGAAGTTCTAACCAGAGCAATCAGGCAAGAAAAAGAAATAAAGGAGGAAATCAATTAGGAAAGGAGGAAGTCAAATTGTCTCTATTTGCAGATGACATGATTGTATATTTAGAAGACCCCATCGTCTCAGCCCAAAATCTCCTGAAATTGATAGGCAACTTCAGCAAAGTCTCAGGATATAAAATCAATGTGTAGAAATTACAAGCATCCCTATACACCAATAACAGACTTAAAGAGAGCCAAATCAAGAACGAACGGCCATTCACAATTACCACAAAGAGAATAAAATACCTAGGAATAAAGCTAACAAAGAATGTAAAGGACCTATTCAAGGAGAACTACAAACCTCTGCTCAAGGAAATAAGAGAGGACACAAACACATGGAAAAACATTCAATGTTCATGGTTAGGAAGAACCAATATCGTGAAAATGGCCATACTGCCCAAAGTAATTTATAGATTCAATGCTATTCCCATCAAGCTACCTCTGACCCTCTTCACAGAACTGGAAAAAAACACCTTAAACTTCAGATGGAACCAAAAGAGAGCCCACATAGCCAAGACAATTCTAAGCAAAAAGAACAAAGCGGGAGGCATCACACTACCAGACTTCAAACTATACTACAAGGCTACGGTAATCAAAACAGCATGGCACTGGTACCAAAACAGAGATACAGACCAATGGAACAGAACAGAGGCCTCGGAGGCAGTGCCACACATCTACAAACATCTGATCTTTGACAAACCAGACAAAAACAAGCAATGGAGAAAGGATTCCATGTTCAATAAATGGTGTTGGGAAAACTGGCTAGCCATGTGCAGAAAGCTGAAACTGGACTCCTTCTTGACACCTTACACTAAAATTAACTCCAGATGGATTAAAGACTTAAACATAAGGCCGAACACCATATAAACCCTAGAAGAAAACCTAGGCAAAACTATTCAGGACATAGGCATAGGCAAGGACTTCCTGACTAAACACCAAAAGCATTGGCAACAAAAGCCAAAATAGACAAATGGGATCTAATCAAACTCCAGAGCTTCTGCACAGCAAAAGAAACAATCGTTAGAGTGAACTGGCAACCAACAGAATGGGAAAAATTTTTTTGCAATCTACCCATCTGACAAAGGGCTAATATCCAGAATCTACAAAGAACTAAAACAGATTTACAAGAAAAAAACAACAAACCCATTCAAAAGTGAGCAAAGGATATGAACAGACGCTTTACAAAGGAAGACATACACGAGGCCAACAAACATGAAAAAAAGCTCATCATCACCGGTCATTAGAGAAATGCAAATCAAAACCTCATTGAGATACCATCTCACGCCAGTTTGAATGGCGATCATTAAATCTGGAGACAGATGCTGGAGAGAATGTGGAGAAATGGAAAAACTTTTACACTGTTGGTGGGAGTGTAAATTAGTTCCACCATTGTGGAAGACGGTGTGGCAATTCCTCAAGGACCTAGAAATAAAAATTCCATTTGACCCAGCAATCTCATTACTGGGTATATATCCAAAGGATTATAAATTGTTCTGTTTTAAAGACACATGCACACGTATGTTCGTTGTGGCACCGTTTACAATAGCAAAGATCTGGAACCAACCCAAATGTCCATCTATGAAAGACGGGACAAGGAAAATGTGGCACATATACACCATGGAATACTATGCAGCCATAAAAAATGATGAGTTTGTGTACTTTGTAGGGACATGGATGAATCTGGAAACTATCATTCTCAGAAAACTGATACAAGAATAGAAAATCAACCACTGCATGTTCTCACTCATAGGCAGATGTTGAACACATGGAGACAGGAAGGGGAGCATCACACACTGGTCTGTTGTGGGGGAATAGAGGGACAGCAGAGGGGTAGGGAGGTTGGGGAGGGATAACATGAGGAGAAATGCCAGATATAGGTGACAGGGGGATTGAGGCAGCAAACCACATTGCCATGTATGTACCTATGCAATAATCCTGCATATTCTGCACATGTACCCGAGAACCTAAAGTGCAATTAAAAAAAAGGGATCCCTTAAGGGAAAAATAGCTCCTCTGGAAAGTTAAACTAGAACCAGATAACAAAGGTCCTAACTGTTCAAAGAAAGGGAAAATCATAGAACTGTAAAGCTCAATAAAAACTAAGTTTTATAAGCTTTGACCAGAGGTTAAAAACTAGCTGCCACTAGAGTATTTGGCCTGTAGATAGGTTGTTTCGCTCACAGAGGATTTTAGTTTTTTTAAAAATCTCTTGTCAGCACATAAAAGGTAACACATGAAAACAGGTATATACTTTTTTTTTTTAACTTTTCTGTTACAACAGGAAGAGTAAGCAATCAGAGGCTTGCCTCCTCCAGCATGGCAATGATAGATAGGCTGGAGCTGGGCAGTGACTGTCCATCTTGATGGGCATGTCTACCTAAGCCTTACCTGGACCTTCATTCATTCATATAAATGACCAGCCACCTGCTTATGCAAGTCCTGAGATGCAAACCCTGCTTAAAATGGTAATTATTGCTTAGGGTTTTTTTCAGACATATATAATTTCAGTTATATGCATTCTTCAGAAACATATTTTATACTAAAAATGTCAAGTCCTAATTGTTTTTGCACAATTAGTGAAGTCATAATTTTTTCGTTTTTTGATATTTTGGCATGTACATAATTCAGGTTAGTATGCAATTTTAAGTCCTCCAGTATTTCATAGAAATCTTTTCTGTACCATTTCTTCAGCTGCAAGACAAAATCTACTATATGCAACTGCATCAGCACCACTTTGCAAAATTCCCACATATTTCATTAGCAATTTAAAAGCCATTTTAATCTCCCTGTATTTTTTCCAATGTAACATAAAGCCAAAATAAACACAAGACAGTTGTTTTGTTGTTTTTATATACAGAGGTTAAAATACTAAGTATTTTAATTATGTAATCTTAATGAATATGAAATATCTTGACCTTAGAAAATACTTATCATAACATAGCACAAATAAGTAATTATGAAGGAGTGTGGGGGGAAAATCACATTTACCATTTTTATTTGTGGAGTAATTATCCAGTTCAGTAGTAGATCTGGATTTATTCCTAAAATACAAAACACAATAAATATGTCTCATTAATAACATCTTTTTTATTTATGAAGTAAAAACGCCAAAGAGATTGCTTTTTAAAGCATTTGATTTATTTTGTATGTCTTCTGAGAGCAATTATTTCTAAACCAAGAAAAGTTTCATCTTTTACAAACTAAAAGAAAACGTTGACATCCCTAAAAAAGAGAAGAGTGGTATGCTGGAAATACATACAGACATGCTACTGTGCTTCTCCACTTTGTATGATAATTAAGACTATAATTTATTGGTCAAGTTTTGTCAATGTTCACTCTGATCCAGACCTTAAATCTCATCAGGCTTACAAAGCATCTGCCATCAGATCACCTACAGTCAGACTGTCCCACTTCCTCCACACTGCTCAGGGTTATGATGTCAACTTCTTGGCCACTGGGATGCTACTTACTACTGTGAAACATTAATTTCCCAAATGCCATCTTAGTGTTCCAAAGAGGTACTAAAGCATACGGCATAGTCAACTTCAGGAAATGCCTTAACTTTGTACCAATACACTTTAGGTATATAAATCAACACATGCTAATCTCATTCCCATTCTGCCAGACACACTGAGCTTTAAAAATAATAGTAGTGGCTCAGCGTGGTGGCTTGCTCCTATATCCCAGCACTTTGGGAGGCCGAGGCAGCCGGATCTCTTGAGGTCAGGAGTTTGAGGCCAGCCTGGCCAACATGGTGAAACCCCTATCTCTACAAAAATACAAAAACTAGCTGGACATGGTGGTGCACTCCTGTGGTCCCAGTTACAGGGATGGGAGAATCACTTGCACCCAGGAGGTGGAGGTTGCAATGAGCCGAAATCACTCCACTGCACTCCAGCCTGGGAGACACAGTGAGATTCTGCCTCAAAAATAAAATAAAATAATAGTGATAACAATGCATAATATACATATAAAATAATCTGTAATATTATACTTATGTACATACATATACATATATTACATATGCATAAATCCAACAATCAATAATACATAATAATATGTCATAAGTGGTAGACAGCTGCACTTGTGAATACTTTCACTTGTATCTACATAGAAGAAAACACTTATTACCAGACGCCTAGCCACACTCCCCGACGCCTCTAGGGTATGCTCTATCAGGATTGCCTGCAGGTATTTCATATTTCCCAGGCTTCCTTAAGCTTCCTTTCTCTGCATTTTAATTATTTTTCCCAAGGTAATGAGCGATATAAATAAAGCTTTTGTAAATATGTAAGTAAATCCATAGCTTTTAAAAGGAGATAAACATTTGAATGATTTACCATTACCCTGGAGATTATAAACAAGGTCATCTATCACTAGATTTTTCTTTAGCTTATTGTCAGCCCGTTACTATCTGTTCCTTTCCTTTTCCCCTTCTATTCTGAGCCCTATTCAGTCATCCTGATTGCTTATAGATGCAAGTCTTTCCTTACATCTAGTAAAGAAGACAAAAGGAGAAATTTCAGCTCTGAAAACACTAGGTAAAGGCCCTACCCTCAATACTTGTAGACAGACTGTTAGAAGTCCTTAGTGATTTCAAAACTGCAAAGCATTTTAAAAATTACTTTAAAACATTAAAACAATGTTTTAGGACATTTTAAGACATGTATATCTTTTCAGATATCTGAACTTTTATCTTCATTCCCCAAAATGACCAGTAGTTCCAGCCAAACTGCCAAAAAGAAAGGCCACCATTCCCATTTCAGATGTCCATGCATAACCCTTTTGGGAGTAATGGTAAGCCATTATCCACAACCTTTTTAAAAGAAAGATGACATTGGATTACAGAAAATTGACACAGTCCTTTCCCAGCCACGTCCATTTCCCTTGCAATGTGATTGCTCCCGTAAAGAGGCTGTGTCTCTTCTCTGTGACCTGTGACTGTGACTTTAGTCAACAACTTAAATCTTAAGATGCCTTGTGGATTTCCTCTCTTTAATTCTCTTTCCTCTGACCCCCACCACATACATATAAGACCTCCCTGGTTTGGTGGCTGTTGAAAGACACATGACCCAGTTGTTCTCAATGTCCCAGCTGACAGCCAGCCAACCCCCAAAAGCAGGGCTGCCTAGTTAATAAGGAGCAGATACATGAGCAAGTCCAGTCAACTAAAAGTCTGCCCAGCTGTGCTCAACCTAAAATGCTGACCCTCAAAATCATAAGCTAATTCATTAAATTCAGGAATAGTTGGTTACATAGCAAAAGCTAACTGATACAAAGATCAACCAGCAATTTCTCTTTATATCCCACAAATGACAAAGGACTAAAGTAGTTCTACAAATCGAGGCAAGCCCTGGAATATCATTTGAAGCCAGTTATCAATTAAATTACAATAACATGCTCTACATACCTGTCACCAGGAAGAAAACCTGAAGATTCTTCTTCTCTCTTTGGTATGTCATAGGAATCAATAGGCCTACAAGATGGAAAAAGATTTTGTAGGCAAAATATGAGGCTTTAAGCCCTTCCTGAGTTTAAGAAAAGGGTATCAAAATAATGTCGTTCTAGCCTCTTTATGCAAACAGCCTTTGGGTTAAAAACGAAACATACAAAGGTATTTTAATGAATAACCACAGAAAACAGACCCACTATTGCCAACAGACATTTGCCAAGCCATTCATTCACTCATTCATTCTACAAAGGCATACTGAGTACCCATCATATTGTAGTATCACTCTAGGAATGGGCTATAGAGGTGTACAAAACAAACTTATTATTCTCCAAGCACTTATATTTTACTGCAGCAGACAGGCCAACAGGTAAATAAATAAATGAGTAATATAAAACAAGGTAAGAGTATACAGGGAGAAGGACTGAGAAGCGGCCTGTATTTTAAATCAGGTATTCTAGAAAGTCTACGGAGGTGGTGTTTGAGCAGAGACTAGAAGAAAATGAGAACACCAGACACACAAACATTCAATGACTTCTCAAGCAGATGGACTAGAAAATGCCAAAGTCCTTGGGCATTTTCAGGGAAGAAACAAGAGGCCTGTGTGGCTGGAACAGAGTAAGGGGAATAATGGAGGTACTGCAAAGTAATCTAGTTCATGCCAGCCTTCTAGGTCATGGCAAGGATGTTGGATGGGGTTCTGATGTGACAGGAAGTGCTTTGGAGGGTTCTGGGTGGGGAAGCAAGATGACATGACAGGGTTTATGATTTAAAGGTTCTCTTTGGTGGCTTGTATTCACTAGTGTGGAGAATGCATGGTAGGAAAGAGGAAGAGCAAGGGGATGCCTTAGAAGTGGGGAATGCATACAGCTAAGACAAGCTACCCTAACAGGCCTTGTGCCCTCTGGCCGTGGGGACAGACCTCCTATACTGGTATATTCTGACTGATGTTTCCCGCTCTCTCTCTGCCTGGTGCTTCTGCTCCTCTGCAGGGCGCTTCTGCTCCTCAGCCTCAGCCTGAAGCCGCTTCCGCTCCTGCGCTTCCTGAAGCCGCTTCCGCTCCTGCTCTTCCTGAAGCCGCTTCCGCTCCTGCGCTTCCTGAAGCCGCTTCCGCTCCTGCTCTTCCTGAAGCTGTTGCTCCGGTTTCCTCTCTCTCTCAAGAACAAGTTGATCCTGTGGCTTCTTTTCTTGGTCCTCATGAACAACCTGCTCTGGTTGCTTCCCTGTCTGAAGACTTGGACCCTTCACTCCAGGTGGTTTCCCAGGCGACAAGAGAGGGCTCCCGTGTGGTCACAGACATGCTGTTTGAGTTTAGGACCATCAGTTCCTAGGTGACCAGTGAAAAAAGAAATCCATCTAAATCTGTTTAGTTCTATAATTTCACATAGACATAAATATTCCATTCCAGATGATACTAACTATAGTTGGACCAGGACTCCACTCAAAAAACATGTTAAGAGTTTTACCACTAAAAGGCCAGTGTGGTGGCACACATCTGTAATGTCAGTACTTTGGGAGGCTGAGGTAGGCGGATCACGAGGTAAGAGATCGAGACCATCCTGGCCAACCTGGTGAAACCCCGTCTCTACTAAAAATACGAAGATTCACTGGGTGTGGTGGCACGTGCCTGTAGTCCCAGCTATTCGGGCGGCTGAGGCAGGAGAACAGCTTGAACCAGAGAGTCGGAGGTTGCAATGAGCCGAGATCGCACCACTGCACTCCAGCCTGGTGACAAAGCAAGACTCCGTCAAAAAA